TGAGGGGACCTGGAGAGCTGGTAGGGCGAGGGGTGATGCACTTCCCGCGCTCCAGGCCGCGCCAGGCGGGAATGCCGTCTGCTGGGAGGTGAGGCTGAGGCTGTATCTTCTTTCAAGCGGATCTGTTTTTCCTTGGACTCGTTATAGCAGTTTACTGAGGCCCCTGAATTTTCAGATCTATGCGTTGAGATGCAGATAGAAGTTGATCATACAGGGGTGCTCGTGGGTGATTCGTTCATTTATTCTCACAACAGTTTTTATGTTATTCAGGCATGAAGGAGAGAGAGAGAGGGTGGCCCGTGATTAAGGTTTTCACCACTTCAATCGCTTGTGAGTTACAGTGAGTGCATCAGTAGCGTCCCCGAAAAGAGTCATCAGGATCTCAGTAGACAGACATCCTGTGTGTTTTGCACCGAGGTGCCTTACTTTCCCATAGTCAGTGCTGGAGTGAAGACTGAATTAACCATTCTGTGCCAGAAAGCTGTGTTCAATTGCTCATTGCTTAGTTTTTTTAAGTTGTTCATTAAAGGAAGCTTTGGCACTGTCCAGTAGCAAAATTACAAGGTGGTGAGTGCCATGTCATTGTGCCTTTTTTTTTCCCATACTTAAACGATTGTGGTTTGGTTTTTGGGGGGGTTTTGCTTGTTGCTTTCTGTATGCACTGAATTTAGCAGATTTGACCTGGCCATTAAAATATGCTCGGCTTGAATTGTTATCTAACAATACTGTTGGAATCAGCTTTTATGCATTACCAATTTTCAGAAACATCTCTCATTTTTAGGATACATTATGAGTTTTAAAAGTAAAATACCAATTGAGAACAGTTGTATATCCTCCAGAAATTCAAAATGGCTTTGACTTACAGAATTAATGTGCTGAGCGATTAGACTAGAGCATAATTCTGCTGCTTTAGATAACTTTAGAGTTTGAAATGGTCATGGCAAATCACTTCCATGAAATAACAGCATACAGTTATGTTCTAGTAAAATGCTTGTATCATAAACTGACTAGTACAGTAATTCAAAGTCTTTATCTGATGCCCTGGCACCAAACTGTGGTTACACATGCTGATATGAAATGCTTTTCAAATAATTGAGATCTTTGCAATGCGTAATCACAAGCTATAAAGCTAGGGGTGAGCAAGGCCAATGCTAATAATAATTAAAATTAAACTTCTTGTGCATTTCTCAGTTCTTGAGGTAGTCGAAACTGTTTTGAGAAGAAAAAGTGAATGTCTAGATAGGAACATAATTGTTTATAACAACTTTCTAGCTTTGTAGGCCAAGGAACAAAGATAAGTGTTATGGAAATCTGTAAACAAGATCATGGAAATGTGATTACAGAGTTAATGAGCGCTTGAACAGTAACTGCTACTTAAAGCATTATTTGATCAAATAGGCTGCACTGTTAATAGCCTCTGCTTGTTGTTTAAAGAAAAAAAGAAAACCTGTTTGTGTGGGCTAACTTGATAATAACCACATTTAGAAGCCATGAACAAGGTAACCTCTTTTTTAGAATCTTGTCATACAAACTATCAAATCCTGCCATTAGAGAATGACTAAATAGGGGAGGGATTTTTTTGTTGTGTTTTTTTTCTGAGAGAGTTGGAAGCTAGAACAGGATTGAAATCAGACTGTCTCAAAGTGCAGGAACCTTTAGTACCTTACAGCATGGTGTGAATACCTGCTGCTGCAGCCTCTGCATTGCCACAGACAGATACCATGTTGTGCACATGGTGAGAGTTGTTCTATTTGGCGCTGTCAGGTTGGCTCTAAATTAGTTGATATGTGGACAAAAATGCCTGTTACTGACTCTATATGCAGGGAAGAGTTTGAATGCAAACCACAGCAACATGTAAGCTACTGCCTGGGAGACTAGTGGTGTAGTTTTGAAAGAGGCTAAGTGAAAGGAGAATGATCTTAAAGGGGTCTGACGATTCTGAAAGCTCATCAGTGAGATAATTAAGAAAATGCTAAAAAGAACAGAACCATCTTAATTAGGTTCCCAACCCAGGGAGAGAGCTCCTTGCTGAAATCCTTTCTCTAAAGTAATAGAGGAATGCATATAGACTGAGGGAGACTAAGTTTACAGCAGCTAAGGTGGGGTGTGCAGCATCTTTTATCTTCACAGCTTGTCAGGCAGAATAATCTACCTAAAAATAGCTGCCTGAAGTTGAGCTTTGAATGTAAAATCCTTTTGCCCCTAATACAGAGAATTTCGGCAACTTCACCAAACACCGATCTTCACCTAGAGCAGGGCAGGACTTCAACTACGTGTTTAATCTCTTGAAACGGCTGCAGTACCTTGCAGACAGAGTCACGAATTTGTTTCTGTGCTTCCTTGCAGGAGGTTCTACTCTGGAGGACAGCTCTGTATGTGGAATTGGCACATAGTGACCTTGTTCATTCTATGTGATTATTTTCCTAAGACGTGCTCTGTTGGTATCTATTTGTTCTCCCTTGCCAAATACTTTACCCTGTGAACTGGTTGGAACAGGGACTCTGTTGTTGATATGTTTGTCACTTGTGTCACATGGTAGAATCCCAGTCTGTAATTGAGGTACCAGGGAGTTATCATGGTACAAATAGTCTGTTTTCAAGGAAAAAGTGATAAATATGGTGCTCTGTGTCAAATAATT